AATCTTATATAAGAATTTGATAAGAATCAGGTAAGATTCTTACGTGAATCTTATTGGGTACTTATAAGTTTCTTATAAGATTCTTAACTGATGCTTATATAAGAATCGACGCCTAGGGTGGCTGCTCGATAATTTACTTATGCACCACGACGACTTCGAACAGCTCCGTATCATGGGGAATTGTATCAAAGTATATACGAATAGCGACGAATGCGTCGGTTATGTTACAGCCATGTTGCGAGAAAAACTTGCTTTGGTTATTTCCGACTCATCAGCCGAGTATCTAGTGTGCATTCTTCATTCGTTTGCGCAAATCGACTCTATCTATATCAACCGTCGGCAAGACTAAAACAAACCTATGGTTTGGATGAACGAGTATCGAAAAGTGAAGGGTGTCTACACTGACATTATAGAGTTCAAGATGGGCATGAGCAAGTCAGTCGCTGATTTCATACCAATTAAAACCATATCGCCATATCGCTGCATAAATTGAACAGACAGGAAGCTTCATTTATGTTTGCCCAGTTGCTCAAAGAAGCTTTTCTCAAAATCGATCCGAGTGATGACGAACGAGAAGAATTCATTGATTTTTGCAATGCTGCGTATGCTAACAACCCAACCGAATTGGCTCGTATCGACGAGTTCAAACGTGACTATTGTCCTGATCGAGCCTAATGGTGGTACACCCGACCATTTTTTCAACAAATGCTCAACTATGCTGTGCGCACTTCGAACATCGATTTACTTGACAAAATGCGCTTTTTTATTCGTGGCTTGCATCGGGACTTCATACATTTGCATCTGGCATCATTGTCCTCGCTGCCACCGTTGTTGACTATCTATCGAGGTCAAGATCTAGCAAGCGATCAATTTGAAGGTCAATTGAAAAACAATATGGGCGGTTTTGGATCCACACATTCGACTAGTCACAATCCGAATGTGGCCCCCGTGTTTGTTCTACCAGAGAAGGATATAGAATCGATTCAACGGCGGGGGAAGCAGACTCTGCTAGAGCACATTCGATGATTTCGATTCTAACGAAAAAATTGATAAAGAGGGAGAATAAATGAAGAGAGCATGCTTGCCAGCAGATGCATATATCGTAATCAGATTTAAGTTAGATAAAAAATAATTGAATACAATTCAAAAAAGAGTCCGAACAGCAGTCGCATTTTACTGCTCCTGCTATTTTCTTATCTACACTAAGTGATTCATTTCCATCTTGAGAATAAGAAAGAATAGATTTCTCAAAAAATAATATCAACAATAAAAAAATTCAGTTTTTTGGAAAAAGCGGGATTATGGGGGAGAGCACTTCAATCTCGCATACCGTCAGTCTCTGACGCCTACGTTTTACCTATGTTTTAGAATAACTTCCCAAGCTAAAGCTCGTCTCGTAATCGCACATTGTATCTTTATAGATAGGCAAACTATTTGAGAGAAAGAATATTCTTTATTCATATAAATAAATGCTTGGAAAGATACTTATGCAGAAAAAACTGCTAGTAAGATAGTCATCTGTATTTGCACTAAGAAAACAAGAGATAACCTCAAATATCATGTGCGCATTTTTTTACTTTTCAACAGAGGTAAATAAAGATGATATCAAGGCTTCTACTTTTTTTGATGTTGGTTGTCGTGTCCCATGGGCTTAACAATGGACTTGGAAGAACTCCTCAAATGGGTAAAGAAATAAAGTATAATTTATGTCTTTAAATTAATTGCTTTAATTTAGGTTGGAATAGTTGGTATAATTTTCAGTGTAATTATAATGAAAAAAAGATTCAGCAAACAGTTGATACAATTATCGCCACTGGTCTCGCTGCTCTCGGCTACGAATATAGTTTGTTCTAATTGTTTTCTATCATTATCAATCTATATTTTCCATTCATATAGTTAATTTAGACGATTGTTGGCAAGTCGGTCGGGATGCTAACGGCACTATCTTAGTTGATCCAGTAGCATTTCCAAGTGGCATGAGAGCTCTAGTTGATTATGTTCATTCACGTAAACTTAAATTTGGTTTATATTCAGGTATGATGATGGTATATATTCAGGTATGATGATGGTTTATATTCTCTTTCGTTCAAACACTTCGAACAGATGCTGGATACAAGACATGTGCTGGTCGACCTGGTTCTTTGGGTCATGAAACAAAAGACGCAGATACATATGCTTCATGGGGTGTCGATTATTTGAAGTATGACAATTGTAATACAGATGGCACTAAACCTGAAGTACGATATCCAGTGATGCGCGATGCTTTGAATGCTACTGGTCGGCCCATCTTTTACTCTTTGTGTGGTAAGTAACGTTGAAAGTTGAAGTCATGATTTCTCAACTACTATATTCCTATAGAATGGGGCGTTGATACACCGGCTCTATGGGCAGCAGATGTTGGGAATAGTTGGCGAACTACTGGCGATATCTCGGATACTTGGGATTCAATGATCGCCACTATAGATATAGTGAGATATGAATTTTATATGTTCTCATAAATGTTTTCAGCCTTCTTTAGAACAATCAATTTGCCGATAAAGCAGGTCCCGGTGGTTGGAATGATCCTGATAGTGAGTTTATTTTGAAGAGCCGTTTGCAGTTAAATTCTTTGCTGCTTTTGTATAGTGCTACGAATAGGCAATGGTGGTATGTCAAATATGGAATATCTTTCTTATTTCTCTCTTTGGGCAATTAGTAAAGCTCCACTTTTGATCGGAGGCGACGTGACTACTATGGGTTTAGATATTCTCTATATTTATTCAAATCCTGAAGTGATCGCTATCAATCAAGATCCATTAGGTGTACAAGCCAAAAAGATTGTTGTTTCTTCGTCACAACTACCGAATACTTCAAGCACAGTACTTATGACCAATTGTTTTTCTCTAAAAATGATGCAGGAACGTCAAAAATGGATATATAATCCACACGATCGAAGTATTCGATCGACAGCTGATGGGAAATGTTTAACAATTGAAAAATGTGACTCTGACGAAGCAACTGAGATTGTCACTGCTTCATGTTACATCGACAATTCAAAAGCAGCATGTCAAGGTAAAAATCAACAATGGACAGTAAACACCAAAGAACAGACGATTGTTTCTCAACTGAATGGAAAATGGTGAGTTGTATCTATAGAAGAATGATAACATAATGAGTAATTACAATCAATATTTGCCTCTAGTTTGAACGTTAACAACCAGGATAAACATTTGCTGAGTGTTTCTTCCTGCAATAAACAAAACAGTCAAGCATGGATATGGAATGAAATCGATGGTTCATTACGAAACAATAAAAATGGTCAATGTTTGACTGTTCAACAAGATATTGAAATATGGGCAGGGCCGCTTTCCGACGGATCACAAGTTGTTCTAATGTTCAATCGCAACAGCGTTGATTGGGAATCAATCACAGTCAAATGGACCGACTTGGGTTGGCCTGCTAATCAATGGGCTCTGGTACGCAATTTATGGTTAAGAGAAGATGTGGGTAATCTTTTCGGTAGTTATACAGCATCAAATATACTGTCACATGCGGCGCGAATGTTCAAGATCACACCTATTCCTTAAAAAAAGACATTCTTCAGTATGTTACTTAAAAAAATAGACTTTTAAAAATGACAATGCTTCACTTGATTATAATGCATATTAAATGAATTTGTTTTTCTTCATAACAAATGGTCTCACGGAAAGAGATCGTTGTAGCTAAGACTTATAACAGAAGTTAGCAATATAATCATATCTAATTAAAAATCTTAACACTGTTAAGTGTGTTAGGATTTTTATTCATCACTGGAAACATATTTCATTTCTTTTAGCCTGCTTAAGCGACGAGATTCAAATGAAATAAAATCAGATTTATATAGAAAGCTTCTTATATTTTAACTGCTTTATATGAATCAATTCCGAAAGATTGATTCGTCTTCTTGAAATAAGAAATTATCTATTATTATAACCCTAGTACAACAAACGAATATTCACAGATATGCGGTGAATCATTCCCATGTTGTCTCGTGGTCTCGCAAGCAAGTTTTCTCGATTCTCCACTCACAACATACCAGAGATATGCGGTTCACGGCTTTTGTTCGATACAGGAGTGGACGGAGTACCAGGTTTTGTCGTTACTCCGCGTAAGACCGTAAGATATAATCAACTGATGCCTTTGTTCTACGAATTCCATAACACAGGAATATTTATTGGTCATTTACTCTCAAGCTATTGGAAAAACAGCTCGCTCGTTCGTTTTTTCTTCCCTAGTATCATTACACATATCGAACTCTGATTACCAGATGAGATAAGTAATTCTACCCAAAACTGCAATTTTGGACAATGACAACTTACTATTGTTCTGGAAAGAATATGAAAGAACCATCGCGCAATAGGTCGAAGTTATTCAAAAAAAACATTTAGTATTCTTGTTTCACCAGCTGCAGTCAAGCGAATATCCAGCTCAGCCGATGTCGTTATTTCTCAAAGAAGAACAAATGTTAATCCATCTACTGTGAACGATACAATATTTATTCAATCGGCTACCAATCGTTCAAAACAGAACGAATTTAGTCGTGAATTTTTTGCTGACTAGTGACGTATTATAGGAAAAATGAAAATAAAATTCTGTCATGGAAGAAAATTTTGATCGGTCACATATGAACGAGTGGGGTTCGTGGGGCATGAAAAGTCCTTGCTCCGTACACCTCTGTTCGATACTGACGATGCATTGCATTTACATTGTGAACAACTGGTGTATTCAAAAGCAATCCGTTAGATGTTGCCACTATTTTTTGATAGCATCTAGAATCGAAAGAATTTCAAAACTCTTTCAAACGAATAATCTTCGCAGTTTTGGGTGATGAAATATGTCAAATGTTGGAGTGTGTGTTCGCCGCTACCGATTTGAGCAACACGTTACGGCAATATCTCTGAATGATAGTGATAATAAACACTATTCATGCAACAATCGAAATAAAAAGTATAAGAAACAACCAAAACAGAAACGAATACGAAACAATCACTTGGAACAAGTTCAAGATAAAACAAGTAGCAATTACCGTGACCAGGAAGATTACGACGTGCGCCATGTACATCATTTTTTTCATTCATTTGATATCGCTTTTTTTGTCATTGAAATTGAGCAGAATCCGCTAAATTATATAGAAATAACGGATAAAACCATTTTCAATTTTGTCGAGCATCGTCGCTAGATTTTTGTTCCCTACGAGATTCTATGAAAATGCGCCGTAAAATATCGTAGAGAAACATGAAGAAGGACTTCATCTGACAACAGTTCTTGAGCGTTTTTCGTTGTGGATAGAGTTTAATAAACAAAACTCAGCTCGAACTAAGGCTATGATGCTTTTCTTTCTTTGGTTTTTCGAATAAACTGTATATAGCGTAGAGGCCTCGTAATGTTTGAAAAATTGTTGTTTCAACAAATATCTAGTGATTGAATAATTTTAATTTAAAATAAATTTTCTTTACGTGCCATTTTATTTCGATTTACTGCACTGAATCAACATTCTGCTTAGTATTTAAACTATTATTGGCATTCTATATGAACGTGTGTCACTTCACGTTCCTCTGTTCTTTTCTTTCGTTTTGATAATCAGATAAGAGAACATGTTAAAGCGACAGATGAATAGTGTTTATTATCACTATCATTCAGAGATATAGCCGTAACGTGTTGTTGCATATTGCTCAAATCGGTAGCGGTATTTTTTGATTTCGAAATCGATTGGCTAGTTAGATAGCCCATAGAAAAGTAGGCCGACAGCCAAAATTTTAGGTCTTTCTGGCTTATCTGTAAAAAGTTACAAAGTCTCTACTTGCACCCCCTCAAAGTTTTGCTCGAAAAATTGATTTTTCGGACATTTTCTTATTTTTCGATTTTCTCAGCCATTCTTTGACGCTCCAAGTCGCACTACGTCTCAAAAGATAGAGCAGCTTGTGCTCTACAAACTACTCTATTTGGCTAGGTTATCATATGTCACCAATACTGTCCCGAAATGTTACGATGTGTAACGATGTTACGGAAAAAACTGGATGTCATGGTTTTACCGTAACATAGTCACATTTTTAGCATAATATTGTCACACATTTAGTATGACACGGAATAAAACGTGACATCACTACACTTTTACCGTGTCACCAGTGTTACGCTTTATTCATGGCGCTGGCACACGTTTATCTTGGCATCATCTCCAGCATGACATTTCTACACTTTTGGCGTACAAAACTTGTTAATAACTTTTATTTTATTCTCAACCGTTCAGTCAAATATAAAAAGTTTTATTCTCTACGCTTAATCGAAATATATAGTCCAGATAGTTGTAAAGAAATTTCGTTCAGCAAAGGAGCGTTGAAGACTATACGTCATATAAAATTCCATAATTTTACATGATCAAAACTCTTCGCTNTAGTAATTCTTTATATTGATTAGGAAGCATGTCAAAATTTAAATTCTAATTTATTTTATTTTGTATAATTTCGGTTTCTTTGATTGTATTGTTGATACATACATCGGCATATATATACTTTCAATGTGTTCATTTTCTTTAAACAGACATCTTCATAAGAGCACACATTTTTCTGTTTAAAGAATAAAATCAGAAAGTAACAAATTTTATATTTTCATCAAATGTTCATCTTTTATGAAGCACAAGAGGAGAGTGTTCACTATAAACTTATTTCGTATTCCACCAACTAACATTACACGAATTAGAGTAGACCCATTTCCATCTTTTATACTAGTTTAAAGTACACGAGTTGTACACGATGCTGATATATTTTGTAGAAACGGACCCCTTTTAGGCTCTGAGGACCATGGCTGTAAATATGTGTCGAAAACTTGCTTTTTTAGACGATAATCATCGATATTCACGACCATGTTCCTCAGAGACTAAAAGATGTCCAAGAGCTTGTGCTATCATTTAAATGAAAAGTCGTCTAATTATGGTTTTAATTAACGTTTTTTCTTTTTTTTCTTGTCCTTTCTCGATAAGACTGAACTTTCACTTTTTTCTCTAGGCAGTTCAAGTCTGTTTTTGTTTTTCAAGTGGTTTCATCACTTTTATCATATGCGCGAGAAGTCGATTCATCAGCATGTTGATGTTTGCCGAACTATCGTTTTGTGAATGTTTCCAGACGACCTATGCTTCCTCTACTGAATCTCTTATTTCATGAATTCGATTTTCAAATCGGATATTGCCTGAATGACAAATACAAAATACATAAAAGTAAATGAATTAGTTTCGTGTCTTATCATTTGGTCTATATGAAACAATCATATCGGCTGTATCACCGCAACCTTTTATTACATTGACTGCGTCTTCATGCAATGCTCTTCTCAAATCAATCTGATTCACTGACATAATACGATCACCTCTTTGCAAACTGGCACTTTTATCAGCCGGACCACCTGCATGAATATACGAGATAAATATACCTG